TTCATTTATACTTTCTCAGATACAGGTTAAGCACACAACACCGATTCACCAAAAAATTGCACAGAACCTGAATATTTGGTACTAAAGCACCACCACTGCAAAATACTTGCATAACATTGAAAAAATTCAGCAAGAGAAAAAAAATATACAAAACACTTCACAGAGACTAGCATCAATACATTTTTTACTTGTACAAATACAGCAGAGACAACATGTAATACAAATACAACATCTTTTAATATACACACTTACTTCACATGACACTGACTTAATAAGAAATTACAGTTAAAGATTTGTTTATGCTAGCTTGAGACAGTAAAGACATAAAAAAGTTGTAAATGCTACTTCTATGCTCTCTGACTGGTACAAAATATCTTAGCAATAACAGTAGAAAAAGTCTTTCACTACTATGAAAGCAATGAAGCACTCAACTAAGGCACTATGTCATTTGCTTCTTTTTGTGCTTTTCATTAACCGTCTTAAATCAACCTTCACAACCAACATCACATAGTTCACTTATTTTCTAAACTGAAATATAATATAATATAATTAATACAAAGACAGTTTTAAATTATTGTATGGAATTGAATTTTCAACACAAATGGTGACAATTCAAAATAGTTATATAACTTTTGCAACTGTAATTTCTGTCATTTTGAGGTAAAAAAAAAGAAAAAGTTTTAACCAATCTGAAAAATATAATAATCTTTAAACAATAGCAGTTTAATCATTATCACTCTCCTCACTTTCACAATTTCCTTCTTGATTGGAAATTCTGCCATGAGCTGGGACAATGCACTCTATTCTTAATATGTATTCAGCAAAATGCAAAACAGAGTCTAATATTTTAAAAAACATAAATGGATTTTGGTGTCCCGTAAATGTAAATTCATCCATCATGTATGACATAGCAGGGACCTGACCCTTCTCTATCACATTTTTCAAATTGTAATTAAATCTCATCTGAAACTGAATATACCTCTCTCTAGTCAGCCTTGCTTTTCTATGTAACAACCATGGAATTTCATCTAAGACCTCCATCAACATAGCCTTAACAATTTTATCCTCTATCTTTACTGAGACGTCATTTTCAACTAAATATCTGGCCAATAGGTGCATGTAGCTGCCGTGTGGCACTGAATATAAGACAGGGATCACACCCTGAGGACGGATGACTAGATCTAGTTCCACTGAGAGATTCCTTTGAATGCTCTCTCCTCTGTGTACTTGGAATAGAGTCTCACACTGGTGTAAAGGCATCGCATGGGAGCTTGAACTCATTGCTGTAACCTGTGGGACTGATTCAGTGAGATAACCCAAATCTCTATTACAAAGGAAATCATATTTAAAGTGATAATTATCTTGCTTTGATTCTATATAGGGACTCAGTTGTTTCAAGCAGTCAGACATCCAGCAATGCAAGTACTTGAAAAGATTGAGAAAAGCTGTAGAAAACTGGTGGCACTGAGTAACTGTTGGACCACAGAGGACTATCTGGTGCATATTCAGGCCATGAAGCTTTACAAATCTAGATAAACCATGAGCCACTGGCTCTACTTTTTCAAATATTCTAATGGATCCTGAATTGATATCATTTTGAATTACAATGGGTGTAACTCCTGTCTTTATCATCACAAAATTCCATTCTTTTTCATCAATCATATCTATGAGAGAAAGTCTGTATTTCCTACAGACAGACACAGCCCAGTCAGGGAAATAAACTGATGAAAATATCATTTTCACACCTAATCCATGAAGAGATGCAAGCCATGAGTCAACCAGTCGATTCTGTATAAAAATACTTCTCATCAGTACATGATCATTAGAAGTTTCAATTATTGCTTTGGACTGACCTTCATCCTTCTTTTCTTCCAAGGCTATTGACCACAATACAAATGGCACATTTTCTAATTGCATGTTTTTTTCTAGGTATTTAAAATCTCTTGTGATAAAAAATCCAGGCACAACTTGTGACTTCAGCAATGGTAATTTATATACTTCCACTACTGCAATATGAGCATTATTAGCTAAGTCATCAAGTAGCTTTATAAGTTCCCCACTACTACTGCACTGACTCAGTATATATGTTAACAATAACTGAGCAAGAGTCTTAGATATAAGTTTTGAAAATTTCGTTGAGAAGAAGGACTGAGAAGTATTTAGCAAAATTTCTCCGAGTGCTTCAAAACTGCGGAGAGGAAGAACATGAGCACCGTACTTGATCACATCATCTTCGATATAAGGTAGAATATTTTTACGTACATGTATTATCTTTTGTATCATTTTTTGCCTCCTCATAGAAAGAGGAACGCCAGGGCTTAAGGCAACATGGCCATCGAGAGAATCCAGAAGTCGTCGTAAAAGCAAGAAACTCGTCTTGCATCCATCCCCAAATACTCTTACCTGGTCAACTATGCCCCGAGTGACAATGTTCAAAACAGGATCATTTATAGCCAATGAATTAAGCAGTTCTGTTCCATCTTGAGTTATGATAACATTACCGCTCTTTTCCATTAGCACAGCTTTCCCATGCACTCCCAGAGAATTCTCCAGGATCGAAGCCAGGCTGCCACACTGGACCACCAAGTTTGATATTCCCATTTCTTTCTTACGGCATGCCATCTTGCCCTGTAAAAAAGACCGGAATATATCTCGTAAATCATGAAAAGGTTTACGACTCCAATGCTTTAAAAAGTGCATGGACCAAGGGGATGGAGGGTGACTGGATGGATGGATGGATGGATGGATGGATGGATGGATGGAAGATGAGTGGATAGATAGATGGATGGATGGATGGATGGATGGATGGATGGATGGATGGATAGGTGGATAGATGAATGGATATATGAATGGATGGACGGTTGTATAGATAGATGGATAGATGGATAGATAGATAGATAGATAGATAGATAGATAGATAGATAGATAGATAGATAGATAGATAGATAGATGGATAGATAGATAGTTGGATGGAAGGATGGATGGGTGGATAGAAGGAAGGAAGGAAGGAAGGAAGGAAGGAAGGAAGGAAGGAAGGAAGGATGGATGGATGGATGGATGGACAGAGGGTTGGAAGGATGGATGGATGGTTATGCAAGCCCATATTCAGATGACCAGAATTCGTATTTAAATATGATTTGAACACTTTCCACATATCCAGTATATTCTTACTTGCCCTTTTCAACAAGCAGAGCTACTGTTGGCATTAATCTATGCAATGCCAGCATGACATATAACTTCGAAATTGAAATAATGAATCAATCATCACCCCTTTATCACTCATTATAAAGGATTTTAACTCACCTGTTTTAGTATATCAAACAAGACCCATCAAGATTTTGGTAACAGGTATTTCCCTCCGTCTTGCCGTGATGCCATCCCTCCTCCTTCCTCTCTTCTTCTCCTTCCTCTCTTCTTCTCCTTCTTTCTTTCTGCTTTTATTGGGCTTTTAGGCTTTTTTTTCCCTTCGTCCCATTCACGTTCGCCGATGTAAACAAACCTGCCAGGTGTACCAACAGAAGCACGTGACAGGCCGCTTCAAAAGGTAAATTAATTGGTTGTAGACTTGTTTAAGAATATTTGTTGGAAGAGAATATACTTTTCATTATATAGAAGAACTCGTTAATCGATATCTAGGGCATCATCGAATGCAATGGCTATAACGCAGTGCGCTTTTGCTGTTGTTTACGGTTTCCATGGCAACCGGTCGTGGGATAGAGGGCGCGAAGTACAAAAGGTCCAATTAATCTTACAACTGTTGATATCTCTTCTCTTGATATTTCCATGAAGGTTATTTTAGAATGTCACTGTTATAAATTTGTGCAATTAATAACAACTACCGGTTATACTCCTATGCTGTTTCATTATAAATATGAAAAAGGAAGTTTCTACCGAGGAGTGCTTGTTCGTGTCTTACAAATACGCATGTATGCATGTATGTGTGTATGTATGTATGTATGTATGTATGTATGTATGTATGTATGTATGTATGTATGTATGTATGTATGTATGTATATATGTTTTTGTACATGTACGTATATGCGTTCCTCAGATTTTTTTTTATAATTTGATGCAAATAGTCTAGAATGGTACTAGAAGTTATATTCATTAGCATTTATTTGAACATGGCGCTGTTTTCTTTGATGCTTTATTCCAGTAATGTCAGTGCGCGCACACACACACACACACACACACACACACACACACACACACACACACACACACACACACACACACACACACACACACACACACATACACACACACACACACACACACACACACACACACATACACACACACACACACACACACACATAAACACATACATACATACACACACACACACACATGAACACACACACACGCATATATATATATATATATAAATATATATATATATATATATATATATATATATATATATATATATAGAGAGAGAGAGAGAGAGAGAGAGAGAGAGAGAGAGAGATGTATGTATATATATGTAAGGTTTATATATATAATGTGTGTGTGTATGTATTTGTGTATACATTACACACACACACACACACACACACACACACACACACACACACACACACACACACACACACACACATATATATATATATATATATATATATATATATATATATATATATATATATATAGAGAGAGAGAGAGAGAGAGAGAGAGAGAGAGAGAGAGAGAGAGAGAGGTATGTATATATATGTAAGATTTAGCTAAATCCCGAATTTCACTTCCCGACCCGGAAACGAAACAAACATCAGTCGAAGGATTCACAAGAGAACCCGGGAAGTTGCAGAGCACGTCGACTTGTTTCTCTGACGCGAGGGGGATTGGACGCAAGGAATTTGTTACGGAAGAACAGCCGGTAAACCATCATTATCATTTAGAGACGATGAGTGGAATACATAGGAGGTTATACATTCGAAAAAAAACAGAAAAGAAGAGCAAAGGTGATTGGTTTCTTCGCCACGCCCTCGCTCACACATCCCTTGAGTCTTCAACAGTTTTTTTTTAAAGAAATAAATGTAAAAAATAAAACAGTGATCCCCTGTTCACCTGTTCTGGCCCCATGTTTTTGTCTGTTTGTGTGTGTGTGTGTGTGCATGTCCATATATAGGGATATATATATAAACATTCTTTATCGTTAACATTATTATTGCTATTATCAGTGTTATTGTTATCATTATCATTATCATCATTAATATCATTATTATTGTTATTCTTCTTGGAAATTCTAGTTGGCAACTGCTAAGCTAAGCCCCACCTCTTTGCTTTTTTAGTACAAGTATTAACAAGTCTTACTTTTTCTCGGTTTATTTCTTATTTTTTTCTGCCTTTGTCATTACTGTACCATTTTCAAAGAAATATTAAAAGGAGCAACATCAAATACCGTACAAATTGACAGGGGCGAAAAAGGGGCGGAACTAATGACTTCATTGCATTTAGCTAATGATGGTGTGAATTGACCTATCAGATATAGCTAGATACTATGGTCGAAAAAACCATAATGTGAAACTAGATTTACTGAAAGTGAGACTACAGTTTCGGAATTCACCTAGATTCCATCTTCAGACCCGAGGATGGAATCCATGTGGATTCTGAAACTGAAGTCTCACTTCCAATAAATCTAGTTTCACATTGTGGGTTTTTCTACCATAGTATCAACACGGTAGATTGTTTTACCATTCATATAGCCAGATACATAATCATATGTATAATTTATTCGTTATTGTTATAATTGCCAGAAAGAAAACGAAAATTCCACTCTTTTCTTTTCGACGTGTTTTGTGCCAGAAATAGCCGCCAAACTAAATTAGGGAAAAGTCAGTTTCATTTTTGGGATCAGTACCCTTAATGGATGTTATGCTACTTGTCATATGTATCTTAAATCTATACATGATTGTGACTAATATGTTCATCAATGGAATTCCGTGGTCTGATAACAGAGATGTTATATTTTGTGTGAGGTAATTTGAGAACTCACGCTGTAAAAAAAAAATTGTATTACAAATGTAAAAGTTTGTTGATAAAAATAAGTTTGCCATTTTATGCTGGAGGAATAATGGAGATAATGATGAAGAGTGACATACTTCCCCTGCCAAATCTAACCGCTTTTTCATAATATAAAAAAAACAGTTCCACAATCTTACATCAAAAGTCATTATTACTTAAAAATGTGCCATCATTATCATAACCGTTCTCTTTCACTTAACTGTACGCTCCCCGTGTCATTTTTTTAATAAGTGTGGTATTTCTTGCGTAATTTCTGAGTAGCGTTGTTAATTGCAAGTCAAATGTGAGTGTATCATGTATATGATTCAGACAGGGAGCACATTGGTGTAGAATAAATAGGTTCGGGGACTGTGGATTCACACTGTATATAATATATTTTCTATCTATGTATCTGTATATAATAATGCACACATGTATGCAATCATAAACACACGTCTGTGCACATATGCACACACATGCGCACTCTCTCTCTCATTCTCTCTCTCTCTCTCTCTCTCTCTCTCTCTCTCTCTCTCTCTCTCTCTCTCTCTATATATATATATATATATATATATATATATATATATATATATACACATGACTGCCGCGATAGCTCAGTGGTTAGAGCACTGGACTCCGGCCCTCGTGGTCCCGGGTTCAATTTCCCGTCGCGGCGGTCGTAAAAATGCCTGCTCTCTGATTGCTCGCTTGAGCCCGAGAAAACGACATATCGGCTTGAGTAGTCAAACGCAGGTGTCATAGGGGAAGTCACCGCCGTGGCCGAACCGCGGTTGATTAGGAAGGGCATCCAATCAGGCAAGGGTGACACTGCCATATAACCTCTCAATAGTGAATTGAGAGAGGCCCATGTCCTGCAGTGGAATGAATGGCTGTAAAAAAAAAATATATATATATATTATGTATATACATGTGTGTGTATGTATGTCCGTGTCTATATATATGAATACATACGTATATATATATATATATATATATATATATATATATATATATATATATATATATATATATATATATACATGTATATATACATATATTCTTATACATATACATACACATACACACACACACACAAACACACATATGTGTGTGTGTATGTGTATATATACGTACATATATGTACATACATGAATATATACATATATTTATGTATGTATACATATATATATATATATATATATATATATATATATATATATATATACATATAATTATATATATATATATATATATATATATATATGTATATGTATATATATATATATATATATATATATATATATATATATATATATGTATATATATATGTATATATATATATATATATATATATATATATATATATATATATATATATATATATATATATACGTTTACGTCTATATGTATGTGTGTGTTTGTAAGTATGTGTGTGTGTATTCATATATGTATATGTATATATATATATATATATATATATATATATATATATATATATATATATATATATATATATATAGCTCCACAAGCACTCAATCGGCAAAGTCAATTCTTGGTTTACCAAACGTCGCATATTCATCCCATTCCACTCCCCCACACAAATACAGACGTACACACACACACACACACACTCAACAACAGCTACGAACACGAACACGAACACGGAGCCAATAACGCCCACATTCTGACGCTGACCTTCATGTCAAGGGATAACGGAACGAAACATAGAAAACGGGAAGATTAGGGGGGGCTTGATGTTGGGAGGAAGAAGAGGGAGGGGGGGGGGGGGAGTTGAAGGGTCACGACACCACATTTACGAAACAAGTAGTGCAGGGAGGAAGGAGGAGGGAGGAGAATAGAGAAAGAGAGAGAGAGGGAAGAGGGATGGAGAAGGAGAGGATTAGAGATTAAGAAAAAGAAAAATAGGCAATTACGATACGCCACACTCATCACCTTGCTGGGTAAGACTTGAGAATTGCGACAATAAACGTCGCATTTGTCTTCACCAGCAGACGCGCATGTAATCGTGATGACATAATGACTAATGAATTTCATTTGTTCCGATATTTGTTCACATAGTTTAGTGGGAATCTTCGGCTGGAGATCGTTATTATCAATTTGTAATGAAGATGTCGTAATACTTGATCGGATGAAGGAGTGATATTTCGAGAATTCAATTAAAGTTTTATGAACATGAACATGAACACAAATTTTATGTGAAGCTTTTTAGTATAGGGATGAAAAAAATAGACCGAATAGAAATATAAGACACCACAATACAAAAACAAATACAAACTCTTCTAAAACCAAACAACTCTAAAATTACAAAGAGAAAGATAGAGACAGACAGAGACAATCAGACAGATTAACAAAAAGACAGCCGAACAAACGAAGAATAAAAATCACATCAAAGATCACAAGCATACAAGCA